CGTCACAGCAACAATCAGAGCTTTTAGAAGTCTTTTGGCATCGTTGCTGGCCATTTTTTCTTCTATTTTAGGTTTTTTTTGGTGCAAAGCATTGGCTTTTGGGAGTAATCTTTAATAAGTAAATGTGTTTTTTGAAACAACTTCTACTGCTGTCTTTATTTATATTGAAAATAGATACTTTTTCTAAAACACTTCAAGCCACTATATTGAAGATATGCACAGCATCAGAACTGTACCAATGCCGATGGATACAGCCACACCTTATTATGTATCATTGATCAACTTAACAGTAAGAGTCTCACAATAATCTAATATACAGTGGAATTAATGAAAATGGATTTAAAAACTACTCAGGGCTGCTATACAGGAGAATGTCAACAGGGCTGAGCTCTGCTTACAATTCATTGAGCCGTTCTTGTCTGGCCCTATTTACATTGGACGAAGCTAAGAAAAATTCTGTCGGCCCATCTGTGCAACGTCCTGATCTATGCATAACGAAGTCTCTTAGCTTCAAATTACATCACTGTCGTATTTTTATGTTTATACGAAAGAAGATTACATCCTTTGATATAGTATAATCAATATATGTATTTCGTGCACAATCCAAAGTCATTTTCAATATAAACGTAATACCTTATATTAAGTCCACAACACTGATTCATAGCACCTATGGTCTACCGTATTTGATGACGCGTCATATGATATAATTCATAAGATGTAATTGATTGACAACATTTATTCTTGCATATAAAGGGTCAATTCCCCCTTTTGCTACGAGTCCCTTTCTTTTCTCTGTTCGTAAATGATTACAAAGATACCGTTTCATTTTGTTGTATTCTTATGTTTCCGAGGTAAAAATATTTGCTCGATAATATCACAGCCATGACCTTGGATTTGGCGAAGTAGAGGCTGCAAATATGGGAGAAAAACGATATCTTGTTTGCAGGGATCTTCTGTAAGGATAGCCTGGACAGTCAAAGTATGCAGGAAATTATGGGGACCCAAGTCATAGGGCGTTTGATCACATTTTGTACCTTGTTGTTGCCTGCGACTGGCTTGTACGTGATGCTTGAATTGGTCGAGTTAAAGATTCATGATTCTTTGGAAGAGTTACCAAAGCTTGGATATCTCCAAAGTGTTTAAAGTTCTTAGCGTCTTCCATCGTGTGTGCGTGTTCCAGTGACAGATTTGTCTATCATCATACGCAGAAAAACAATCACCAATTCATCAGTTTACCAATTGTTTACAGCAACAAAAAGTCAAATTTGGGATTCGTCATTAAAATGCTGGCACAACTAACCACTCTTTATTCATGAAAAATAAAAGTAATATACATGTATATTAACTTCATCTTCTTCGTCTCAACCTTAAGACTTCTCTTTCACACACTATGCTCAATCTCCTTGCACAAACTTGCAATGTAATAAAAAGAATTCGAAATTTGTGTTTCTTTGGTTATTTCATAGTTCCAACATCACATTGATATAGCTGCAAATGCATGCTCCAGTATTAAAGGTCGGTGTCGTTGATTGTGTTTAGGAAAGTCATAATTGTGGTGAGACGAAAGATTAGGTCAAAGATTTTTTGAAGTTTATTATCACATATTTTTATATCACACTTTTCGTTCCTCACAGCCTGCGAAAGCAACTGTGTGATAATATTAATTGCTCCGTGTAAACTCAGAAAATATTCTGGTGAAGAGGCAGGCGCAAAAGAAACTACATAAGATTAAGAACAGTTTGATAGAATAATCGAATGATAATCTTGTTAAAAGTCAGTCATGAAGACAGACTGGAACGCAGACGTTGAATGAGTTTGGAAAATTCGGCTACGGTGTTTGGTAAAGAAGTTCCTGTTGAATGTACAAAAGGCGCTTGAAAGCAACGTTTTCCAAAATAATAATAATAATAAAATTGAATCTCAGAGCGTTTTAAGTTACTGAACAGATTATTTGTTAGCTCCTCGTCGAAGTCATCTATCTATGTCGTTATCTGGGATCTGTTGTAACGTATCAGAAGTAGAATCATAATGAAGTAGATCCTTCGCCTTCATTTGGGAGCAGATGGCTGGATAACGGAAGGAACCATCTATGCTGGGGAATATGACTTTGATAGGGATAATCAAGAAGGCTCGAGAGCTTCTTTGAACTTGCGCGAAATCACGAGGGATCATGTCCAATGCTTTAACCAATAAATAACAAGCGAAAAATAAGTCGAAATTGAAGTGTTGGCGATTTTTTTTTTGAAAAGTAAGGGGATTTCGTAAAACTCCGTGTTGAGTGTGTTTTGTAGGTGAATTTGCAGACAAATCGAGATGGATGATGGGTTGTTAGGTTGTTATACCGGTTGTTTGTTCTGTGCTCCATACTCATCAGAAACCCTGACTGTTTGACTTGGCAGAAGTATTCTTTTCTAATCTTTTAAATATTGAATGATATTCAGTAGCTATGCATCGAACAAATATCCATCAGCCTCGGCCCAGGCTCGTCAAACAGAGTAAAAACATTTGTAGAGAGAGAGTTTTTCCAGCTTTGCCAGTTTCTTTTTCAATCCGAAGCTATTGACATGAAAGAGGCTTTTTCAGCTTTCAAACAGCACTTCATACACGTCATTACTAGCATCAATGAGAATGACAAAAGATTATGAATATATCTAAACTATTTCTCTACTTTACGCATTACACTTAATTACCAACTTACTGTATTCGTTTTAAACTATACCGAAATGGAATGTTGCTCAGGTCATTGTCATGTAAAAAGCCAAGAGCATTCCCTTGCCCTGACGGGAGTTCTCTGATGAAATGAAATAAAAGAACATCAACGAAGCCGACTCTTGGCATCTGAGCCATATGCAGCCTTCATGCAAGTTTTTATCTTTTTATGTATGTTGGCACTCTTATATTTTATTAGTATATCTCAGCCAGCGTAGATATCCCCATGTTTCATCGAAATAAACTGCTGTCTTCAGGTCATAAAAAAACATTTTTCCTGTATATAAGCATAAGTTGTCTGACAACTTCTCTATTAGGGCCTATTAGATACTCATTCAGGGAACTGTTAAAAAGCCCTTCAGTACTTTTGTAGGACATACTATCCTAACAGAAGGCAGCCTGTTTATTATCATCAAGGACCACGCTGGTATAAAAATACTCCGCTGCTGGATTCGAACAATGTTGAACTGTAAGCCGATATAGGTTTTTTACCCCCTATGCTTAGACGTTCTGCTTGTGGTGTGTCCATCCCGTTTTGCATATATGAGGGGTTGTTCATGCTTCCCTCAAACCCGAAAATAATGCATTAAAATGATGTAGTCAATTTGCATGACAGCACTGAGGCAAGATAATACATATTAGACATGCCTATGAGGCCATCATAAATCTAAAATAAGAAAAACAATTGAAACGTCATGTTCCAAATCAAGCGCCTATCTCTGTGTCAGAAACAAAAAACCATAAAAAGGAAAACACAAGAGGGTCTTGGCTATGCTTGTTCCTTCATATGTCTTGGTCAAATAATGCCCAACGATTAAATAGCTTTATAAAATAAGGAAAAAAAGAGTGAAAGTTGAGATGCTCGTTGACAGCCGAGCAGTAATATCACGAGTTATTGACACGCATGATAAGATGTGTGCGCGCGCGTGTGTGATATGTCTTGATTATCATTCGATTACTGCATTTTTTCATTTACGTATCGTCTTTCTGTTATTCCGAGCTGTCTAATAGATTTCTCGGGCCCTGGCTGGTATACTTGTGATGTTTATGACAATAACTACACATGCTTCCAGTAGAACACGTCAACAAATGAATAAAAAAATTTTTTTTGACCAAGTGTTTCTTTTATTCTTTTGTCCTGTCAAATGAATACATGAGCTGCCAAGAGATGAAAAAGAGGTATATTATATATTTTTATTACACAGGCACTGCTATCATATGATCGGCATCTTTTAATTCCCTGAATATGGAAACAAGATATTACACTGCCAAGCTTTTTTATTCAGTGTTATTTTAACAAATGCAAGAGTCGCACCTTAAGCATGTGTCACCTCTCTGTCTTTTTTTACATTATAGAAAATAAATATATAGTTGCTATAGTAAAACCATAGCAACAAACATAACAACAGAGTGCAAACTGAGATATGTTTTTTTATAATTTATTTATTGCATAAAGTTATTATTTTGCCAAGAGCTGCTATTCAAAAAAAATTTTTTTTCCTGTTCCCAAAAAAAGGCTAACCTTCCCCTTTTCTCTTTCACTCTTCCGTCGATCATCAAGATGGTATTTAAATGACTATTTATTGCCAAGATATTCTTTCTTTCTCCTTTCTTTTCCATTCATTTTATATATTAAACTACAATAATGCATTCAATCACTATTACAACAAATAACGACAATAACAACGACAATAATACAGAAAAAATCATCTTGCCCTCACCTCCTTCATCACCTGTAGATCAAACAAATACAAACAGCCGTAAACGCGCCTTATCAATATCATTTTTACAGAACCCAATACCCGAGCCAACAAAGAAATGTAAATTTAATTACTTGGAGCCATTGTTAAAGGATACTTCTTCCCCCAACCAGTGCGATCCACAATACCATCGCTCATTGTTAAGCTGGGCTTGTATAGCACAATCACTCGAAAAACTAAAAGAACTTGTACGAAATGTTCATTTGGACATCAATCAAACATCTGGACCGAATAAGACAACTGCCCTTCATGAAGCCTCATTCATCGGTTTCGATAAGGGTATTCCACTCTTACTACAGCATTCGGAAATCAATATTAATGCGACAGATCACCAGGGACAGACAGCTGTTCACTATGCTGTACAGCGGAACCAAGTGGAATGTCTAAAAATCTTGTTATCTTCGGGGGCAAGGATAGATATCAAGTGCCAAAAGCATAACCGCCTTCCGATCCATACCGCAGCCAAGTACGGATTCAAGAACTGTCTTCGTTTACTCTTGTCCTACAGTACCTGCCACGCAAATAATCCCACTGAGACAGACATGGTCTGGTCAAGTGATTCATCTCAAGCTGTAGTCGAGTATGCTGTTATCAGCGGCAATGCTCATCAGCTTATCCTGCTTCTTGATTATGATGCAAGTCAGCGGTATAGACAGTCGAACGAACTCGTGAGTTTGGCCGTGCATTGGAACCGGCTCGAGTGTTTACGACTACTTCTTCAACGTGAATGTCCTGTGAGCAGCAAATGTTTGATGATGGCTGTACAAGAGCGCAAGATTGATATGGTCCGACTCTTGGCACCCCTTACAACAACCTGTCAACCCGATGGTGAGAACCCGGCCTTTCTTTACGCAGCTAGTCACGGATTCTTGGATATGATACCAGATCTGTTTACGCTTTCTACATCCAAAGAATGTATACAGCAAGCTCTATTTTTGGCTTCATCTATTGGTCTTCATGAAAAACTTGGGTTTATCATATCTTCAACTATTAAATCGCTGTTATCAAGAAAATAATAAAAAAAAAAGCCTTTTTTTTTTTCTTTCATTCTGCTCTTTTTTTTTCCTACAGGCTTATGTTTTATGAATGAACAAGACACCAAGGCAGGAATCATCAAATACCCAGAAACAACACTAGAATTTGCTAATCTGGTGCATGTCCAACGTTGGGCTGGTTTATCAAGATTCGCCATTCAAGACGATATTCAATATTTGTTACTCCATTTCTTTAGTGTGCGTTTATACATGTTTTATAATTATTGTTACTAATTTCTTTATTTGACCAGAAACAATCACATACATTTCATGACTTTGAAGACGTATGGATTGAGCTTCAGTTTTCTTTGATCCATTATTCATGTCTGTACAAAGAATTTCGCAATGTGTATTTAAATACATTCTATACCTGTGCCCTTGAATACATGCATTCACCCTCTGATATATATCGATCGGGTGCCATATTTGCACTCTATTTCTTATATCACTCCCAACCCCAGGTTTGGAAAAAGGTGCCTATTCGAGTGGAGAAAGGTAGACAATGTACATACAGGGATAACATAAAGGCTAAGTCAATAAATAGATACTTGGTCAAGACTATTTAATTTTTATGCAGAATCAATTAAACACGACAAGAATATAGAAGCAGCATTAATATTTGACAAGTTGAGATCACAGAACGCATTTTCATTTACGGCAGAACAAGTCTTCGATCCGACTAGTATACAAGAGCGTGAGGAATTTAAGGACGCAAGATTGTAAGAATTATTTCCTGTTATGTGTGTGTGTATATATGTATGACTTCTCATTATAAATAGAATACTAGACAAACTACATACATTACATATAGAAAGCATAAAGAATGATACCGTAAGTTCAATGTAGTGTGTGTATATATATATATCTTTAAACGTATACATGTAGCTTGCAAAATGTCTTGATACAGACACATACAACGTCATCTTGAGCAAATACTCTGATGCCAAACGTAAAGCACTAGCAACACCTCAATTGACTGCTGTAGCGCAGGCCATGATGAAAGAAAAACTAAGGATAAGAGAAACAAAGCCTGCACGTCTGAGGAACTTTATGACAAACACTGGTATGATTGATGATACGTCCATCTCTATAAATCTGCCCAAACAGTCCATTGTTCAGTCAAAAATACGTGAGATGACTACAAAACAAAGGCAAAGGAAAGTACAATGGGAAATCAAGCGAACACTCGCCGAGGAGAAACTGTATAATCAAAGAAATGATGAGAATGAGGTGGTTCAAGTCCAAGGTGACGAGTCAAGTGACATCATGGACGACTCTTTAATTGGTTAGAATTTCCTTATCTGCATTTAAATAAAAAGGCCTCTTTTTTTTTTCCCTCTCTCTTCAAAAGTATACCTTTCTTTTCTCTTTTTATTTTTTGGATGAAGTTTACTCTTTTAACTGCTGCTTTGGTATTGGCTGGCTACGCCACAGCCGTACCTATGGTCAAGACAAGTTCCTTTGATGATGGATATGTTGCCCCTCTTTATGCTCCTGTTGAAGCTGAAGCTGTACGAGGATCTTATATTGTTGTCTTGAAAGACCATTTATCTATGGAACAGCTTCAAGATCATGCTGAATGGATCAGCTCTATGGTTGCAGCTAAAGCTTATAATAATGGAGAATTTTTGGATAGTTCCTTCCAAATGGGAATTAAGCATGTTTACGAAACACCTAATTTCAAAGGTTATGCAGGTCGTTTTGATAAAAATATGTTGGAAGCTATTCGTCGTTCCGAAGAAGTAAGACTTGTTTTTTTTTTTTTTTTTTTAAAAAAAAAAATAAGACAAAAAATACTGACAGTTTACATAAAAAGGTTGATTTCGTTGAAGAAGATTCCATTGTTTATGCCAGCGAATTACAACGTGGTGCACCTTGGGGACTTGCTCGTATTTCCTCTCGTAAAGCACTGACGCTTCGTAATTTTAGCAAATATAATTATGACGCCAACACTGCTGGTGACGGTATCAAGGTGTATGTGATTGATACTGGTATTAACGTTAGTCATAACGATTTTGGTGGTCGAGCAACCTGGGGAAAGACAATTCCTGCAGGCGATGACGACCGCGATGGCAACGGTCACGGATCTCACTGTGCTGGTACGATCGCTGGTACAAAATACGGAGTTGCCAAGAAAGCACGCCCAGTCGCCGTCAAAGTCTTGGCTTCCAATGGCTCTGGTTCAATGTCGGACGTGATGGGCGGAGTTGATTGGGCTATTTTGGATTTCAGAAAGGACAAAGAACAGGCTCAGACAGAAGGCAAACCATTCAAGGGGGCTGTGGCCAACATGAGTTTGGGCGGCGGCAAGTCTGTTGGCTTGGACAAGATTGTGAATGCTGCAGTTGACGCAGGTATGGTCTTTGCTGTGGCTGCGGGTAATGATAACCGAGATGCATGTGACTATTCGCCTGCTCGAGCCGAGAAAGCGATCACTGTGGGAGCAAGCACGATTGCTGACGAAAGAGCTTACTTTTCAAACTATGGTAAATGTGTTGACGTATTTGCGCCTGGTTTAGACATCCAGTCTATCTGGATAGGAAGTAACACGGCAACAAACACTATCTCTGGAACATCCATGGCTTCACCTCACGTTGCTGGTTTGGCTGCTTATTTCCTTAGCCAATCTGAACCTGGCGTCACCCCCAAGGAAATCAAGGAGAGAATTCTTGCTGTAGCCACACCTAATGAATTGACAAAGATTCCCAAAGACACCCCTAATCTTTTGATTTACAACGATTACGAAAGCACATAATATTCCCCCCCCCGAAGTAATAATAAAGCCGCGTGTAATGAACGCATGGGTCACATTCACGCTGTGAGTTTAAAAAACGCAAGAGACACAAACTAAGGGAAAATGATTACATTTTTACACCATTTTTTTCCATTTATATTTTTATATAACCTCACCTGAATGCCATTTCTATTAAACTTCATTTCCAAGATTAAGCATGAGTCAGCTTTAAGAGTAAGCTTGTTATGCTGTACTTCTATTATTTACTGTTGTTCATAGACGTTAGCTAGAGTACAACGAGAAAATACACGAATAGATTTACCATTTGAAGGGATGAGTAACACAGAGGAAGGGGCATTTCTTCGACCAGGAGACAGAATCGATCTTATAGGTACCTCAGGCAGTGGGAAATCGACAGTGATGGTCCAAATAGCCAAACACAGCCTCATTCATTCACGTTCGCACATTTTATATTTTGATCTCGATGAACGCTTGGTTCCACTAGACGATAACAAATTCCATCTGTTTCATCTAAAGCAAGGACAAACCCCAAGTGCGACCTTGGAGTATTGGTTAAATGAAGAGCATGCAAATTTCCATGTGTTATGGGTCATGATCGATAATACTTCATGTGTCGATAAAGGGTGTTGGCAAAAAATAAAGGAATTACAAACCAAATGGGGCTTTATCTTACTAACGTCTACACCAGCCACTGCAGCAAGAGCCTTGGATTTCGATTATCGCTTTGAGATGAGTGTCACCAAGGGAAACGAGATACAAATGCAGCCTATATGGCCAATGCACAAGGATGCTTTTTTAGTAAGAACAACAACAACAACAACAGCCGTGTAATACAAACGTGCGTTTCTCCAGGGAAAAAAAAAAAAAAGGAAAAGGTATAAAAGAAGTTCTTTGCTTTTCTTTCCACTTTTTACCCTTTTTTTTATTATTTGTTTCTTTTGTACTTCTTATTTATTATATTTATCAATAAAGCCGAATTATGCCCGGAGCAGTTATTCTTCAACAAAATCATCAACCGTCTTACCCATATCGAATTGCAGTCATTGAAAATAATATGCAAGTGATGTCTGGAGTGAGTTGCATTGTAAATAAAAAGAATGACATATACAAGACAAAGGACTAATATAGTTTAGGTATATCATGTCATATTGGAAGATAAAGATTGCCATCTTTCACTTGTTCGATACCTTAAAGATTTTATTGAATTAGACAGCCTTGTAAGTGTGTAACAATTGCCCTTTATGTTGTATACAAATATAAACAATCTACATATACAGCTTCACAAACATTTTCCTAAATATCGGGTTCCACTGCCGAAATTGATAAAAAACAACAAGATAAACACATTACGCTCACTGTTTACACTTAAAAAGAGAAAGACAAACGCAGAACGACTACAGGCTTATCTAAACCAGTCTATAGTTCATATCGCGCAATGCTCGCTTCTAAGAGAGTTCCTGTCTGTGCAGCGAGATGAGGATAGAATGATTTCGAAGCAGTCGCATGGCAGCCATAGTAACAATAGTCATCATAAATCATGTACAGTCGCACAGCCATCTATTATGACACCACCACATACTTTAAAAAGAAAAAGCTCCTTTTATGATGTCAGACAATGTAAACGACTGGTCGCACCACCTTCACCTCCAACCACAATATCGTCTATTGTTCATCACGATGACGCTGTACATATCGATCAGTTTGAATTGATCAAGGTACTGGGTAAAGGAGCAACAGGCAAGGTGATCCTTGTGAAAAGACAAGCCAAGTTGTATGCACTAAAAACAATTAATAAATCGTGGAACATTACGACGAGAGAGGTCAACCATATCAAGATGGAAAGAGACATCCTGGCTACTGTCTCTGACCTAAGACATCCATTCTTAATTCAACTTCATTGGGCATTTCAAGATATGCAGAATTTATACCTTGTGTTGGATTATCACGCTGGGGCTGATTTAGCCACTTTACTTCAAAGGTTCATCTGTTTTCCCAAGGAACAATGTAGACTCTATTGTGCTGAAATCGTCATGGGCCTTCAAGAATTACATAGACATCACATACTCTACAGGTAAAAAAAATTTGCCCCTTTCATAAATTTGTTCTCATGTATTCTTATAGAGACTTGAAACCTGAAAATGTGCTATTGGCCAGTGATGGTCACATTGTATTAACTGATTTCGGTCTATCGAAAATGTTTAGCGATAATGAAGAGCATCGTACGACGACTTATTGTGGCACACCAGAATATTTAGCGCCGGAAATTATTCTTCAAGAGGAAGAGTATTCTTATGCTGCCGATTATTGGAGCCTTGGAACAATGCTATACGAAATGATCACAGGTATCACACCGTTTGGTGCTCCCACTCCAGACGAAATGTACGAACGAGTCCTCTATGACGACTTGCTCTTTCCTGCTCACTTTGATCCCGAAGCGATGGACTTGATCGCTGGTTTATTAGAGCGTGATCCGTTCTTACGGCTAGGCTCTGGTGTTAGTGGTGTGTTTGAGATCAGGACTCATCCTTACTTTATCAATCATCTAAACTGGAAAGATGTCTATGCAAAAAGGGTGAAACCGATGTATGTACCTTTGACATCATCCGAGACAGATCTCAGTAATTTTGATCCAGATTTTCTACGCATGTCTACTCACATCAAGGAAGAGAATGATGAAGCGATCCTATTACGTCAAAAGTATTTACCCGAACACTGTCCAGCTGGCTTGACAGAGAATGCGTTCCGAGGTTATTCTTTTATTCGACAGAGCGATGGCATGGTCAACCAGAATGAATCAGAGTTTACTTTCTTTAGTAGTAATTACTTGGATCAAGATGATGAAGATGACACTGCCTACCGTCATATCTCGGATGCGTCATTTGTATCCATAAAAAAGCCTTTCAGAACTTCATTTATAGATTACTCACATGAAGATATGGATGTTGTATCCTTGTAGAAAAAAGAAATATTTAATGTATAATAATTGTAGTAGTAGTAATAACATAATGTACAATAAAAAACAAATCATGTCTTTCTCTTTTTATTCATCAAAAATGGTTGTTTCCAAACTCGTTGTAACCTCTTCACTTTCTGTTCTCCAAATCCAGGGCACACGCTTAACTCCTCGGTCGATGCTTCCATCACTCGCTTTAATGATCCAAAGGTAGAGAGTAACGTCAGAACATCGGTCTTATTGACGCTTCGGACGTTGGTCAAACAGTCTGTCACTTTTGCCAAGTAATCATTTTCGACTTTCTCACGGATGAGGTCAGTCCCCATATTTTCGAATGCCTTGAACGTTTCAAGATATCTTCCTGCCTCTTCCATACTCCAACAGAGCACTAGCGTAAATTCGCTCAAGATGGCCACTCGATTAATCTCTCGAATGGCGTCATGATAATTTTCTGCATCGACAAATACGAGCAAGATACGTGTGACATAGAGGTTCTTTACGCTATTGAGTCGGTCATAAATATAGTTTGGGTACAGTCGGTGGTACCGCAAACTTAGATATATCACACCTGTGGTCTGTCCGACAACATAATCCATCTTGATCGTATCCGATGGCTCATATGGTACATTGCGAATAAACTTTAAAACCGGATTCTTTTGTTGTATTGGGTTCACCAGGATGGCATTACCCATCGTCCGTTTGGGTCTGTTTTCTACGACTGGTCTATTATTATTATGATGATTTGTTTGCTGCGCAATAACGGTGTTGTTGTTGTTGTTGTTGTTGCGAGCATCATTTGTAGATTGTTTTGGTTTAAAAAATAAGGTGCTTGTTGATTTATTTGTTTGTTGCTTTTCAATTTCTTCTATTGAAGGAATCTTCCAAGGTGACTCATTTGACATTCTAAAGGATATTTAAAAAAAAAAAAAGAGTAAAAGAAAGAGAGTGTCTGCATGAATCCACGAATCAAAGGTCACGTATTTTTTTTTCTTTCGCTTCTATATCATGGTTATTTCTTGGATGGTCCCTCTTTCCTTTAAAAATAAGAAAAGAGAACAAAGAATCCACTTTAAAGAGTGGTAATAATGTATTATTTTTTTCTTTTTCTTTTTTCCCCTTCTTCCTGTCACAATGACCATTTCAACGGGATTAGCTAATTTAATATGCATTGGCTTTACTGTTATATACATTATTGGATTTTACATGTTCAAAATACCTGGATCACGTAACCATCCACCAGTGATTCGAGCAAGAATGAAAGCTGTGACAGTAGCATCACTTGTTTCAGTTGCTATTGTTCGGTACCTGACAACAGCCAACCTATTGACTGTCCTCGGTCTTACATTTAACATTCAAGCTCTTATCAAGCCTCTCTTGTTGACCTCTTTGCTCTTTCTAGGTCCCATCTCTATACGTTACTTTGATGATGAACTTCCATTTCAAAAAAATTTTGATTTCCATCGAGATGTCATCTTGACTCTTACAGAACCCTTGGGACAGCGAAATTATTATGTGGTAAGAATAAATACAAGATGATGATCTAGATTATACATATATATATATATATATATACATATCATTTAGGCACCTTTCACAGAAGAATTAGTATTCAGAGCATGCATGATTGTTGTACTCTATCAAGCTAATTATTCAAAGGGTTATTTGATCTTTATGTCTCCTTTATATTTTGGTTTAGGTAAGTTCATGACTATTCATGAATGATCATTGACATCGAATAGCTCATTTGCATCATGCTTGGGAAAATTATTATGTATTGGGTGGAACAAGACAAGCGATGATTCAATCGATATCAGCTTCCTTATTTCAATTTGCATATACTACTGTCTTTGGCTGGTATGTGAGCTATCTGTTCTTGAAGACAGGTAGCCTTTGGTCATGTGTAATCTGCCACTCATTCTGCAATATCATGGGCTTTCCTGATTTCAGCTGTATCAAGTATAGACGTAAACGAGAGATACAATGTAAGTTAAAAGCGTTTTTTATATATAAGAGAGAGATGTGTAATGGTATATTTGTTGCTCTTGTTGAAATGCAGTTATATATGCTTGTTTTCCGATAGGTGTTTTCTTATTTATAATGTTATTTCAACTATTAACACAAACAGGTGATTCAATCTATTGGACATAACACTATTATATTATTTCTTATCACTGGGTTTTTTGTCTTCCAACACATTCTCGATCAACCTCTTTGTACAATCTCGAACTAGATAAAATGCATCTCCTCTTTCTAATCGAGTCCAAAACTTGTGAAAGAACGCTTGCTGTGTACCATTATTCCATGAATCAATATATCTCTGTGATAGATGTTGTAATGGTCCAAATGCTTTATGGATGACCCTAGAAACTTGACAAGGGTTCAATTCATCTTTTTTTAGTTTTTAGTTTTTATTACTTACCATGCTCACTTGAATGTTTTGTCTCTTCTCCTAGATCTATTGTGTAATAATCTGGGTAATCTTTTTTTGTGAGAAATGCTTGCACTACAACAACAATAGGTGTAAATATAACAAATACTACTTCCATTATTACATGTATACCTCCAAGTATATGCTCTCTGCATCTTTTAGGTGTCTTGGCTACTGATATCCATGTCCCATAAAATGGATTTAAAGTAAATCCAATGTCACTTGTTTTCTTTTCTGTATTTTCTTCTGTCAGCAGTAGTCGTTGCCTTGCCAGTTTCCGACTCTCCCTCAAAAAGCAAACCATGGTGCATTCTCTTGAATAATCAAACAGTTTTTCCAAGTTTTCTCTATCTGATTTTCCTTCATATTTCAATTTGGGTACATTGGCAAACACATAGCATTTCTCTTTCCAGCTTATTTCTTTGTCATCATTATGCTCCATGTTGCGATTGAGTCCTATCAAGATGGTATGCTTATGTGTACTGCTGCTATTGTTGCTTGCACTTGAGCTATTCGTATTATTAGTCTTTTCAGTAGCTGTAGGCTGTGTCTCTTCTGTCGTAGCTGTTTGTTCTGACCACCAAGGTGATAGTAGTGACGCAGTATCGTCTGTAGATGGAGGAGGAGTGGCTGCTGCTTGAGGAGGTAATAAACTAGGTGATTCCTTATCACTTTTACTTTCATGCGTATCCTTATTATTGTTGTTATTATCGTGATTTGTCATTCTAAATAATGAAAAGAAAGTAAGGCAGTGATCGATTTACAAGAAAAGAAAAGAAACAAATAAAAATAAGATGATGCAGAAAAAGTAAACTCAGTAGTTGCATTTATAGACTTGGTTTCCTAAATTGTTTGTTATTGAATGCTACCATTGGTCAACTGAGTCTTTTTCATTTTTGCCTTTAAAATAAAGCAATTGGGGGTTTTTGGCCTGTGCATGATACTTGTAGTCTATAGTAAAACTGAATAGAGCTTTTTTCTTAGTTACCATTGTTAAATAACAAAATATAGGTTTATGCGTATAATAAAGTACTGTATTCAAAGGAGCTTTTATGATCTTACTTGCCATAAATACCTATCACAGTCTAATACACAGGTGTAATTTAGTTATTTCTGTTTGCAATGGTAACAAACCTACATTAATGATAAACACTAATAGCAAAAGACCAGTCCTTATCACTAGATTTTAAATAATCTTGTGATGATCTGAATTCATTTCTGTCCAGCAAATTAGATCCGTTGTATCTTTTTTTTCTGTGATGCTGTTGGGACACGTAGATGAATGAGCATCGTATCCTAGTTCTCATGCAGTCACCCAAAAAAGCTATCAAAGGAACTGTGCCCTGACATTTTGATTTTTGCTTCTAGACTATCCAAATGATTTATCTTGTACTAAATATTATCAAATGTTTGCCATATTACGAATATAGTGATTTGCGTTTGAAATTCAATATTTTTTCATTTAACTTTTTAGGAATCGTTCAGCTAATTTACCATCAATGGCTATGTTACCGAAACGAAGACGAAGGATGTGGTTATAGGTTCTCTAGCCGCGCTTTATTCTCAGTAATATAAAAATAAAAATAAAAATTCTTCTTGTTGTCCTCTTTACATCTTTCCAACAGTACATTCGTCTGTGGTTTAGAGAGCTGGTGGCAGGGATGGGTCTTTAAAAGAAGCCTCTGTACCATGGGAGGGGAACCATCACATCCTTAGTCTTCGTTTCAGCAACATAGTCATTTTTTTTTTTTTTGTTAAAAAAAATATCAGTTCCGTATCAAGTATCAAGTTGATGAAAGAAGTTATACATTTACCAAATCATAAATCTGATGAAAAAATATATACAATGATCAAAGAATGGGAAACAGTTGGTTGATCTTACCAACATATTAAACATTCTATAAACTAACCTAACGCGTACGCAAATCTTTCTCCTTAGGCAGATCATGAAAAAAAGCGGTTGTTTTTTCCCTCTGTGCAATTGACAAGAAATCCCCCATTATTTTTGGTTTCATTTTTTAACTGATACATGGTGTCATAGATTTATAAATATTCAAAAAACAGTCGGTGCGTGCAAGGGATGATATAAAATTTAAATACTCCCAAGCAGAGATTGATTACATTGTAAAATATGCTTCGTGTTTATTACAAAGCATGTTTTCTATGTATGACCTACTCCCAATTAATTGGTATGATATAGCAAAAGCAAATAACCATGAATGTATGTTTAACTTTTGTCTATGATAATAGGAACATCAATAAAAAAAATCATTTTCTATCACGCGCAACAAAAACAAACCAATTAAAAATTGCTCACTGTCAAATAGGTGCGTCTAATAACCACGCGTTTTGTCTACATTGCAACTAGCACATCACTTGGTGATTCAAGTGATGCAGATTTCTGAGTTGGCTGTCCATGCTTTCAGGACATCTGCGTGGCTTCACAGGCTTTGTTCACTATCTGTAGACTGGGAGGAATGCTCTCTAAGTGTGGCTACTCAGACAAATACCTATGCCGTTGCTAGTTGGTATCGAACCAAAAGTTATTTTGAAGTAGTTGACGAGGATGGACTCTGATAGTACTTGACATTGGCAAAGTGATGCCTACCTGGGCTTAGAATTTTATGGAGTCCTTTGTCTTGGACTAATCTCATTATTTAGGGTTTATCACGATGGAATGGGCCAAAGACTACGCCTAATTCGTCACAGCATTGCTCTCAGAATGGAACACGCCTTTATACTTGAATAAAAAGAAAAATGCTTTCAATATATCCAAGAGTTACATGGCCGGTTTACGCGTTTTGACTTTTTGTATTGAGTGTTGTCAAAAGTGTACCTATGCAAAAATTGATTTGAACTATGAAGACAAGCTTATTTTTATATTTTTTATTTTTTATTTTTTTTTTTCTCTTTCTTGAAATGCAAATGGACCAACTAAGCATTACAGATTTAGAAAATGTAAAGTTATACAATTTTGTTTTTTGTTTTTTTTTGTTTACTTATCTTTAAGCAACACAATAGCTCATTGCACATTTCTACAACACGAGTAATGCTACTGCAGCTAAACAGATTCAAGAGCAACTTCAGATAATACAAAGGCAGCCTTATGCATGGGATTTGGCATCACAATTATTAGCTTCAGAGGTAATCAATGTTTATTTTTAAAGAGATTGTCTGTTAAACATGGCTAGCAGTCAGATCACTGTAGGTTTTTTGGAGCCCACACCTTTCAAATAAAGATATCTCGCGACTGGCAAGTAGTGATAAGTTTCATATATTTAGTGATATTCAACTTTTTAGAAACAGGGAGACGTTACCAGAAGACAAGATAGAGTGGCTAAGAAACGAACTTTTAGGATGGGTCGTTCGTTTGTGTACTGGACCCGCGTTTATAACAACTAAACTCTATACAGCTGTAATTTGGTGACACTCGTGACATATATACGCGTTGAGTGATATGATGTAGAAAAGCTTTCTGACACTTTTTTATATATATACTTGTAGCTTATTGCGTATGCATTTTATACTGTGCCTAGTCATTGGACAAGCTTCATACCAGAGACGATCAAGGTATTGCAAATGGGAGCTCAGATGTATCAGATACCTACAGACACAATAAATATGGCAATACTTGAATTCTGTACTCTAGTGCCAGAGGAAGTGAGTAATGCACATTTGCTCGGAGGAAGAAAGTGAGTGACAGATAAAGAGAGAAAAACAAAATTGTATGTTGATTTGATGTAGGCTACAATTAATTGGTGAATTGAAGGAAAGCGTTCCTCTTGTTTTGGCTCAGTTGTCCAACTTGATCTTTTCAGAAAATGAAACCGTACGATCTAAAGTACTTCGATGCTTACAGAGCTGGGTACAATATGGTATTAATCTAGAGTAAGATTTAGAAGAAGAAGAAAAAGTGCTACGGTCGCTGATTGCCAACCCCTTTTAGAGATACATATCCATTATTACAAAGAACTATGGCCATGCTGGGAGATGAACAAGTATTTGAACAGGCAGTGGATGTATTATTAGAATCTATGCAGCAGAATGCGTGGAGTAAATATCATACTTTACGAAACGACTTACTTTTATGTTTTACGAGCCATGAGATGAAGGCAAAGTTCAGTTTGAGTATATCAGGTGAGATGTCCACACATTTACTCAACTGCAAGCTATTCTCTTATTTTATACATAGACGACGACGAGGAAACAGCAAGGCTATTGGCTAAATTGTTCTCCACTTATGGAGAGACATATACAGACTATATAGCCAAGGAGCTAGTTGACCCCAACATCCAGTCATTGATGAGCATGATTATGCGATTAACAGGATTTGAAGGCTACTTTCCTGCAGATCAAGAGGTATCAGAGATTCCACTAAATTTTTGGTATATACTGCAAGAGACCCTTCATGACGAAAGTGTATTACCGCCTCCCAAGGATAACCCAAAGCTATGGAACTGCGCACAATCTGCAATTGCAATGTACCGAGAGCTTGTAGTTATTCTTATAAAGAACGCACGGTATCCAGATGATGACACATGGAACTCATGGAATAAAGGTAACCTTTTTTTTAGATCATAACGTATGTTCATACTTTGTATATAGATACCAAGGACAAGTTTAAAATATGGAGAAGAGATTTGGGTGATGTGATGATTAATCCTTATTATGTGTTAAGAGGAGACATGCTTGCTATCTTGTTAGAATATGCTTCAAGTATACTTGATCAATGGGCTTTTCTTCCTACAGCATCTCAAGTAAGTTGTAATCATAAGAGATTCATCTATCTTTCTTAACCCTCATCTGAAAAGGAATTAGAAGCAGCTCTGTTTTCCTTAAAGAGCATATCTGAAGAAGTATCTCATGATGAAAATGAACACGTTCCTAGATTCTTTGATGTCTTGGCAAGATTGCCTAATGAATGTCATATCCGTTTGAAGAATACGGTACTCTTGCTATTAGGTTCATTATCTGAATGGCTCAAATTGCATCCAGTATTCCTCGGATCCGTCATGAATTATATTGTTCCATGCTTGAGTGACACGAGACTAGCGCAGTCAGCGAGTACATCATTTGCTGACATTTGTGACACGTGTCGCGAATCCTTGGTAGCTGAATTAAGTGATCTGATGCAAGTGTATGCCGCTATGGCCAATTCCCATATCAAGGTAATATCTCACATTGTTTAATCAAAAGCACATGGTCTCATACCTTGTTGGTGCAGCCGCCCATATTACAAAAAGTAGTAGAGTCTGTAGCTGACGTCATTCAAGTACTTCCACCGGAAAGAGCTATTGCACCTTTGATGGTATGTATACTAAAAGCAAGATATAGTATATATTTATATATTTACTGACGACTTAGATATTAGTCATTGACAGGAGACATCCTCCAAGGAATTGCAGTCGCGCTCAATTCCACAGATAATCAAGAGATAATACGAGAGAGACTACTTGAACAGCTTCAGTATTTATCTGCATGCTGCCGAGGTATTCAATCACCAAATGATGACTACCAGTCGCTGAATGAGCGAATGTCAGTGTATGACGCTTTTGCAAGCGGACAATTGGCGAGTATGTACGCCAGCATAGAGGGGTTTAACGAGATGATCTATGCGATCCGAGAATCATCCATGAGGATTGCACAAACATGGGCAAATGATGAAAAAATTGCGAAAGGATTGTCTCATTTTCTTGATATGGGCATGAAGTCAACGAGTCCATTGATGAGTTTAAGGTTTGAAGACCTTGCCGCTCTGGTTGAGTCTGCGTATCAGACAGCTCCTTATTCATGCTGGCTGGACACGGCCTCTTTGATCATGAATGTGTACGGAGGACAAGATTATCATCGACTTCGAGATTTGTTGGGCACATTAACGAACAAGACATTTGAGTTTATCCATGGAGCTGAAGCAATGGAGCAATATCCCGATATAGTAGACAGCTACTTTAGCTTACTTTCTAGAACCATTCGACGATGCCCACTGGCATTTTATGAATTACCAAGAGAGATGATTCATATTATTTTTATGTTTGTTATCGCTGGTATGGGACTACAAGAGAGATTAGCATTGAAGGCAGCCTTGAACTTTGTGGCAAGTATATAAATAATTATTCGTATGAACGAGACTCATTCTGTAAAGTAGGCTGACTTTGTAAGCCAAGAGTTGGATGAGACTAAAGCCAAGGCAGTGGATGAAATAATGATGACTATGGGAATACAAATAATGGAACAATTATTGATGGTAAACAATTATTATTATTATTATTATTATTATTGTGATTAATGGTACCCAAGGGAATTGGTGGTCGTGTGCCTAGATCTTTTTCAGGTCCGCTGGTGGATACATTATATAAAATGATTGGTAGATACTTGGAACCTAGTAGACAATGGCTTCAAACACTTTTGGCCAATGTAAGTATAAATGAAAATAGGTGATTCATATCAATTGATTCCTTTTCTTAGGACCAGTTTCCTTCAGTGATGGTGTCAAAAAGTGATAAGGAGATGTTTCTTAAAGGAGTGCTCGGGTAAGTTTGAAGGTGGTGTTACATGAGTATATATGATTTTAATATTTCACGGAGTAGAACAAGATCTTTAAAGAGATTTAAGGAAAATGTGAATACATTTTCAATCAAATGCCGTGGATTAGGTAACGCTAGCTTTGGTAAAGTATAAGCTTTTGTTACTTTTTGAAAGAGAAAGAGTAAGCAAAAAAAAAAAAACGTGAACCCATCTTCTATGTTGCATGTGTTACCATCAAAAATTATATTTTATAATTTTATATTCCTCTTCTTTCTTTCTTTCTTTCTCTCTCTCTCTTTTCTTGTTCTCCTTATTTTTTTGGTGTATATATATATATTACATGTGTAATGCCTTCACCTGTTGGTAAAGATAAATTGAATGATAATCATTCAGCAAATAAACAATGGATACCACAATATAACCCAATTCAACTGGCTGCGATATCCAATTTTAAATTGGCACAACTTACTTTTGCTCCACCTGATTTACATTCATTAAGAAAGACGGCTGTCATCAAGAACATGTTGGAATATGTCTATTCAAATACGCCTTCTGACTGGTTACAACAGATGACTCGTTGGCAATTCTTTACACCAGAGTAAAAATACATGGATGAACAAAGCTATTAAAAAGCTAACTTGTATATGTAGATCACTTGAAGAAATGACACAGGAAGGTTTAGAAGAGATATTTGCTCAATATGCACAAACAATAGAAACATTTAGACCTGTAAAACAACAACCAGACTACTATCCACCTACAAGTTTCTATCATTCTACGATGGGTGATGTCAATGGTCAAGAAGAAGACGATGAAGAAAATGATGACGATGGACAAGGTGACGAGTTATGGATAGCAGAGGATGAACAAGCATCAATAAATGCAGAAGAAGAAAAGAGAAAAACAACCCGATCGTCCGGATCATCTTGTTCTTCCATCTTTTCACAACCTAATGCAGCTATTTCCGCTGAATCTTTTGAAGCACGAGGTTCATCTCCTTTAATCGATAAACCACTACCAGCTAGTCCCGACGAAAAGCAAGCAAGAAGGAAGAGTGGATTCAACGGAAATAAGAACAGACTTAGTTGGACAAGTGATACAGGCATTACCTCAAGTGTTGTTTCTCAAAATTTGGCAAACGAAATTATGAGTTTATTTGATATGGATTTCGCCGTAGATATCAAAATTGATACAGCGCCTAAATTACCTGAATTACCTTTTAAACCGAAACAACAAAAACGCCGCTCTTCGTATGATATGCTCAATAGCTTGCTGCCTGCGTTTGAAAAGATTGCTTTTGAGAATTCAAATGAAAAAGCAAATTTGGATGAAACTCTGTCAAACAATGAACGACAGCCACAAGAACAAAGACAGCCTTTGGTCATACAGTCTGTACCTAAGCGATCTTCTTCATTAAGACATCGTCAAGAACACGATATGATAAAGCGCCAGCCTATTAAAGAATCGTCCTCATTACCACCACCACCTCAACCACCTGCTCATCAGGAGTTTCCTGAGAAAGGACTCGCCCGAAAGACATCGTTACTCAAGTTAGCTTCCTTTGTTACAGGTAACAAAAAAGGTCAACCCGAGTTTGTGATGATGCATCAAAACAAGAGTGACCCAACTGCTAATCGTCGAGTCGAAAGCACTTCCACATTGGATTCGTGGTCATCAGAAGAAAGGATATCTATAAGGGATAAACCATTACCTGAACCACCCGTTGAAAACACCAATACAAAGAAATATCTTAAAGCCCATTCAACAAAAAAGAAGAGAAAATCAGCAGTGGTGATGGAAAAGACAATGTCGAAACACAAAGCATTTCAATCGATCTATGATGAAGATAATAATAGTAGTTTACCACCAAAGGGATTAAATCGATCAAAATCAGCATTCATAAAATTAGGTGGTAATAAGAAACAAGTAAGGAGGGTATCATCTGCAAAGAATCTTACGACTTATAAAGATGATCATGGCTTTGTCAAAAGAATGGCATCCCTCATGAAACGTACAACCAAACCTGTTGAGGCATAAATTATTATACATATACCCCCCTTTTCTTAAAATGTGTGTACTTTACCATATAAAATATTCCACTCCCCCCCCCTCTCCTTTTTTTATATACATTTGTTTATTTCATGTAGACATGGAATGATTATACACCCATAAAAATGGATTTGTTTATACCAGATTTTCACTACACTTGACATACGAACTTTTTTAAAATATGTATTCCGCTGTCAGGCGATAAATAAGTGCACACATGACCTTGTTACTACCTTCTACTACTGGCTTTTAACATCAATTGAGAAGGGCGAAAGCTTAAATTAGATGATCATTCCAAAAAAGCTTTTTTTGATAAAATTAGACATTATAAGTTTTGTTTATATGATACAGTAACTTTTAAGCAAGTTTGCAATTTAGTCTAAGGTAATGGGTCTTGTTAAAAGACATTGACTTTTATTACCAAGAGACCATTAAATGCAAATTCGGATTTCAAGCTGTAAAATTGACTGTAGAAGAGCAAAAGAAGAAGACTGCTGATATCCTTGATTATGACATTGCCTGTGGTATGCTAAAGAAGACTGAAGATAATCTGTCTCAGTATAGATCCTTTACACATGATATATTATATTATGATATTGAAGTTTAAAACGGTTACATTTATCGTTGCTCATGCCCTGACTCCTCCAAGCTCTGTAAACATATTTTCCTTATCAGTCGTATATTTCAAGTACCTTTTACAGAACGTTCAAGAATGCATGTAACTCCTGTTACAGATGAGAATACCGCCTTGTCTAATACGTTGAAGAAATGCCAAACACTACCTTGGTAATATTCAAAGCACTAGTAACATGAACGAGAGAAACCTGCGCTTTAGTGAATTCATCAACGAAGGAGAAAAATATTGGCAGGTAATAAACAAGCTATGGAAATAAAAGTCTGCTTCGTTAGCCCAGAAAGTGCAAGCTAAATAAAATGTCTTTATTGGTAAACACTTTGAAAGAAGCAGCCACTGCAACGTATGACGTTGGATAATCTTCTTACACACTTCCACCAAGACAGCAGTGATTTTTTAATTAGTAAACGTTTCCCTTTTTTCACAATTGATATAATAAACACTTTAAAAAAAAAAAAAGTCTACTGCACTTAATTCATTAACCTTTGCTTCAAGAGTATTCACAAAAAAGCTAAATATTTCCAAGTACTTTTCAATATCGGATATGGCTGCTAAAATCTTGGTAACTTTAAAGTCACTCCATTTAATTCTAATCGGACTTCAGATGTGGTATGACTTTTATAAGAAACAGCTTCATTGATCTTTGCGCAGCAATCAGTCTCTTCAGGAAGTGAAGATTGCTAGAAGCCTCTGGTTCTATGATTTGTTTGACATGAATTCTACACTTTATCATTGACCTTGTTTGCTGAATGAACAGAATGAGAGGATGTTCAAATGTATCGTCACAATGTGTGTGTGCATGACTATCAGAAAGGCTTTATTGAAGGAATGATATGAAAATCCCGCTACATAAGCCATGATAACGAGTAATAAAATTGAAATAGAAACTTCTTATTTCTACTTTCTACATCCTTTTAGTATATGCTTTCACAGCATAGAATGGAGGATAGTTTAACCTTGTTTTTTTTTTTCTTCCTAAACATCCAACAACGCACAGGCTCAGGAGAGAGAAAATGTGACACCAAATAATTGGACAGGTTGCCTATATTTTCTTCTTGTAACCTCTTCTTGAACTTAAATATAAAAGGTGCATCATCCTTTATATAAACAAAAAAAGACAGCTATTCTGTTATGGATTAATACTTTGTAAATTGATAAATACTTTAGAAGGCTTGACTCTCTCATATCCGATAATAGAATAACTCCGCATATTGCGCCGCCTGCTAAACAGATTAAAAAGGGCTTATTTTTCAGGGTCACAAGTATATGTTATGCAACAAATGTACAAAACACTATCTCCTTCTTTTCTCCCCCTTTTTTTCTTTTATTTCTCTCTCTCTTTTTCTCTTTCTTTCTCTCTATCTCTCTTTTTTTAACTTCTTGTCGTTAGACTAATGAATAGATTACCTTCTGAGTTTCTATATCAACTATCAAACTATTTAACTTTACAAGATTGTTATAATTGTCTAGCTGTTTGTAAATTTTGGAGGAATGCATTCAAGAGAATACTGTATCGAGTAGTTCATATCTACTCGGATCAACAGCTTCAACAGTTTATGGAAGCGGTTAAATATAACGGACAGCTCGTCAAAGAGATTTACCTGCATAATAATATCCAATATAACGAAACAATGGACTATTTAGAAGATTTAGATGATCCACACTACATTAATCATATCCACTTATCCCAAACTCACTTTGAATCACTAAGCATGTACTGTCCTCAATTGGAAGTGCTCCAATTTGACAAGCATCAATGGAATCATCTAACATTATCAAATGTTATTTCCAACTGGGACCATATCTCAAGCTTACCGCCTATACAGCATCAATTACTACCTCATTTTTTCCCTTTATTTAAATCTCCTTATTTGACTCATCTAAATATAGACTTTACTTTTGATCCAATAGAAAATGACTCTAGTCATTTTACCTCTTTACTAAATCAAGTATCCAGCCTGCAACATCTAACTTTGGAAATATTCTATAAACAACAACAACACCAAATAATGGATTCAGCTCCGTTAAACATTTCTAGTTTGCTACAGCAAATTCACAGAGCTTTACCCAACCTCAAATCACTCGAGTTCGTATGCACAAATCCACCAAGACATGAGCCTCCTGCTGCCGTGTATGAATCAAACAATATCCTAGCCAGCTTTAAAGAAAAATCATCATTAAAATCGCTCACTGTTCAGGGCCACATTGATTCGATCAAATGGTTTGCATTCATTTACGAAAACTATCCCGAGCTTGAAGAACTCAAGATCATTCAGATGGCAACGAGTCGATTTGGCACTAAATGGATGTGGCAGCAAGCCCTTGTCGACCTTATACGTAATTTACGTCGTATGAAATCCTTGACGATCGGTGGAAGAAATGCACCGCAGCTGCTCTCTAAGGGCTTAGCACTAGAGCTCAAGAGCCCGACATGTGCAGTAGAGAATCTATATATTGATTTCAAGACCTATCAAGCTATCGAATCCTGTCAGTTTTTATTGATCATTGCTGCCTTTGGCTTAAAACAGCTCAAATTCTTGCGGTTACGTGTGTGGGAACAGACACCTGGATGGTCTGGTGTGACCTTCAACTTGTTTCAGTGTCGACAATTAGTCTCGCTCGAACTCTCATTGTCCAAGGGCCTAATGGATCAATATCCATTTACCCCCTTTTTGATTGACAATTTTTTAGAAAACATGCCTCAGCTTGAAGAACTCACGCTAGTCGGTGCAGAGATTCAGGTCTTATACAAGCACCTGGAGGATTTAGATATCAAGGCTGTCTTCTCACTACATTCACTCACTCTAATCCAGTCAAGAGTACAGAACCATCCAACGGTGTTTTCTTACCTTAGCAAATGCTGTCCGCGCTTAAACCAGCTCTGCTTTAGAAGATGCGAGGTCACAAAGAACGCAAAGCAGCTGACATTTTCTCCTTCGCCTGCGTGCATTACCAATGACTGTACCCTAGATATGCCATGCACTCGATTCGAAAAGATTTATCTCAGCTCCTTCTTGATTTACACTGGCACAGTAGAAACCATTGAATACATTGGCATCAGAATACTGAGCTCGCTGGCGAGTTCGGAAAATGACAAGATCGCTTGGTGCCGTATCGCCGGACTCGGTGGATCATTTATTTACCCTCAGTATACCACAGTAGAAGATGCTGATGTGCTCAGTGAACTGCAGAATTTATACCAAAACTCAGATATCATGCCTGGAAACTATGTTCCATCCATTGGCATCATCACCATTCGCTGCAAATCAGTGAGTGACATTTATTTGGACAACGTAAAGATACCAAGAAGGAGTTTTTATTCTTTTTGTGTGTAATAAAAAAGCCTCCCAGTGTATTATGCTTGCTTGTTTTAGCAAATGACAGACTCAAAAGATTTATTATCTGGTAGCTTGATCTTGTAATGTGCTGGTACAACATACATCGAGCCTTTGCAGTTAGGTTCAGTCCAGATTGCACAGTGGCTACTGCCACCATTACGAGCCTCACTTGCTTTGATACCCTTGGGAATACTTGAACATTTATGATATGCGCCAAGGGAACCCGTTTGTGATTTACCATCAACATTATATAGGGTTAAACCCTCATTGGAACCAAACAGAGCAAACACGCTTATTGGTAAGGCAATCAGTAAAAAGATAAATTTCATAAAGATCATTAAGACAAATAAAAAAGAAGAGATTTATTTCATGAAGAAGGGGTTTATTTTATCTATGCATGGGTTTACTTTATGATTTAATTTGATGAGAGTCTATTACGATTTTTGGTGCCCTGTAAAATCGCAGCATCAAGCTAGAACAAACCACGGTAATACTTGAAGCCACCATGGCGATACCCGCGATGTAGGGTGGTAATCCTTGTCCGGCAATAGGGTAAAAAATACCTGCGGCAACAGGGATAGCTACCACATTATAGATAAAGGCCCACAAAAAGTTCAATCTGATACGATGTACAACAGTACGGGATATATCATACATTGTGAGAAGATCCATGAGATTATCTTTGATAAGGACAATACTTGCTGCTTCAATAGCAATGTCCGTTGCGGAACCAACAGAGATACTATATAAAAGGTTAATTAAACAAGAAATGAAAGTAACAGGACAAACCTACCCAACATCCGATTGTGCCAAAGCAGGGGAGTCATTAATACCATCACCGACCATCGCGACAACGGCCGGCTTTGTTGGCCTTCCATGTTTTTTCCAAATGTGCTTCGTGCTATCCACCGAGCCTTCTCGAATACCGCGCCTTTGCAAATTACGGATCTTGTCCGCCTTTTGTTCCGGTTTGACACCTGCTAGCACGAATTCACTGGGTATACCCAACTTTGCGCCAATCACACGACCTGTACGCTCGTTGTCGCCTGTTATCATCCAGACATCAATATTTCGTTTTCTTAATTCAGCCACAACCGCAGGGGCTTCAGGTCTTGGTATATCAGCAATAGCGAGTTGGGATATCATTAGTGTCTTTGAAGCAGTACAGCATACTGAGTTGGTACTACACCGACACACCGCACATGCACAGGCATTATTACATCCTTCACGGTGACTATCGAGTTGTTCATCGTCTTCAGAGCCATTCATAATGGGTGATGCAGCTACAAGTACAATGGACTGACCCAGATCTTGCCATTCGGTTAACAACTGAGTGCACATCTTGGCTTGCCTAGCGTTTTGATATCTTGCATGATTTTCATCCATCCATTCTTGATTTCCCAAGTACACATTGAGAGCACGCGTCTGTTTGAGCTGTCCAGGAAGACAGTCGGAAATATCTTCAGAGACAGTCATGGTAGCCAGTAAACCTCGGCCAGGTACCTCTTGTACATTAGTAATTGTCACGCCTTCAAAAGGATCTGATCTGTCTGTATCACTTGTCTCGCCGTTCTCATAATTGATGTCACTGAGCTCACTGTCTAGTACTTTAGGATTGCTTTCTAATTTGTAAATTATGGATCGCGCCTTCTTTTCAATTGCCTTTGAGAGTGGATGGCTACTTGCTGAACTGACACGACCCAAAATCTTCCAGACCCCGATACGCTGAGCATTTTCGTCTGTATGTCCCGTACGATCAATCCAACTGTTTGTCACCACAGGCTTGCCCATGGTCAGGGTACCTGTCTTGTCAAAAGCAATCGTGGTGATACGGTTGGCCATTTCCAAGGCATAGCCTCCGCCTTTGACAAGTACACCATAATGAGCAGCAACTCCCGTTCCAACCATGACAGCTATATACAACAATGGAAGAATCAGTTTGAATTGCTTATAAAAAAAAAAGAAACATTTTTCTTTTTACCTGTTGGACTGGCCAAGCCTAGACCACAAGGACAGGCAATGACAAGCACAGATACAGCTAGCATTACAGAAAAGATGGTCTTGCTTTCGCCCTCAGGCACCCATGCGTCAGGATACAGGTTCTTTACACTAGCTATTTCCCAAACAATAAACACAATGATAGCCAATGCAATGACAATAGGAACAAACACGCTAGAAATGCTATCTGCCAGCTGCTCAATGGGCGCCTTTGGAGAAGCCTGTGCATCTTGAACAAGCTGAATGATACGAGAAAGGGTAGTGTCTGAACCTACACGGATGGCACGGATGTAGATGGGTGCATTCAAGTTGATCGTGGCAGAGATGACGGTATCACCTTCCTTCTTGTTTACAGGCACAGATTCACCTGTGATCATGGATTCGTCAGTAGAAGAAGAGCCTTTCCATACTTTTCCGTCACATGGAATACGTCCACCAGCGTTCACTTTTAAAATGTCGCCAACTGACGAATAGGATGAGTATATT